ATGAAAATACTATTGACTATGACAACAATGGGAACCCGACAGGTACTCACATTCGTGTTCGTAAAAATAGAAGAAAGTATACAAGAGAATATTATGAAGTTTTAGGCAAACATGGCAAAATGTACAGACTGCAAGCAGAAGATAAAACTACTATTGTCAGACCTCGTTTCAAACTTGTCAAAGTTCAAGGTGGTATACTTTCAAAGACAGTTCCTAACAAATATAAGACAATCCTGACGAATATGCTAAAGAAGTTGAAAATGACGACTAAGCATTTCTATACCATGCGTAAACTGTCATGTAAGGTGGCATGTATTCTTTACTTTGTCCCGTTGTTTGCGTATATCCTGAAACGCGATGTGTATGGTTTCCATCTCCTGAGTGTTACCCCAGAAACAATTTATAGCAACTGAACGTTGTCTTTAACATCATATCCTTTACCTTTTGTCATTGCCGACCAATCCCAAAATTTATGCTTATGCCAACCTGCTTGAGATGTACTTAAATCTATGTAGTGACTGTGTGCAGGTAAATTTTCACCTGAAATCGTTTTACTTCCACCTGTTTCCTTTGAAGAGTTTGCACAATACAAAAACCTGTCGACTATTTGAGTCCAAGTTCCAAAACCTAAAACTGTTGCTGGTCTGGTAGAGTTCATTGACGTATAAATAGAGCCTATAGGATATAATGTTTGAAGTATTTCTGTCTTTAATGTTTGAAGCTCTGTTTTGTCTGCTTTCTTGTCATATAAATCTTGAGCAGTGAATTTAATATTATGTTCATCCTTCATGACATAAACATCTTTACATCTAATGTTTCTCATCGTCGTTATGTCGTCATCCGATGTTAAACCTTGTGGAAAGTTAGGAGGTTTACAATATAATGCATCCCCACCAGTTTCTTCAACCGTTCCTTCAATACTTTCTATAGCAACAGTTGTGAAGAAATCATGTGTATGGTTCTTGTCTGCTTTCTTCTCTAACTCATCGTTAACATAAGTTTTATCTGCTTTAAGGTCTAAACATCCTGAAACCCATCCTGTATCGGCTTTAGTTTTTAAAATCTTCGATGTCCATTCATGGTACCAGTCAACCCTTTCTTTAATTTCATTATCTTTTTCATCCACATGTTCCTTATCTGCTTTCTTCTCTAACGCACTAGCCACACATTCCTCATCTGCTTTCTTTTCAAGGCTAACGTTTAAGTCTGTTATTTCAGATATAGAATGTGTATGAGTCTTTTTAGAATATTCGTTTTCAGCTCTTGTCACTTCACTTGACATTTTATTGTCAACATATGTTTTGTCTGCTAGTTCAGGATGAGTATGTTCTTTTGTTGCATAAGCATTGTTAGCTCTTTCTTCTTCTTTTGCTATTGCATCGTCTACATATTCTTTGTCAGCTTTGTTGTCAACATCTGTTTTCAAAAGAAGTTCATTTATAGGTTTCTCGTTTAAAGTTCCTTTTGTTGGATTTATACAGACAGTATTGTTCTTCTTGTCTTGAAATAGAAACTCATCTGTCATTGGGTTTAATGTCAGTTTTAAGTTTCCTTCTTTCAATGACTCAGATATCTTAGAATAGTTTGAAAAGTTTGTTGTGTTCTTATTTAGAGCTTGCATAATGAGTTGTCGGTTGTGTTGTATTTCTCTTATGGAAGCAATATCTTTCGACATTTTTATTCTAGATAAAATATGCTTTCAATAGAAAAAGAAAATTCAAGAGTTGCTACAACTAAACCATTAGATGAACTTTTTACTAATGTCGGTCAAAAGTTTGAGACAGAGACCGTAAAGCATGAAGGCTATCGTTTTGACTACCCATTAAGATGGCTAAGAGACCATCTGTCACAAAAGCTATTGGCTTTCGTAGAATGAAGTTCATTTCAGAAGCCATACATGGTTTCCCATTTACGGTCGGTTTTGAAGTTCGATACTATAACAAAGAAAAACGTATGTATGAGAAATTTGAACAGGGAAAACTTTTACAAGTTAGTTTGCTTATAAACTTAGAAACAACTCTTCAAGCTTTTCAAGAAAAAATAAACGATATCTATATCGAATATGCAAACCAGTATAACATTGACGAGGGAGAATACCATCTCGATATTATTTATGACAGGAAAAATGCAACTGTTAAAATCAATAAAATAGAAGACCTTGGAGAAAACGTTTATATTTCTACAAAAATATAACAACTTGGCATGGTATAGATTTATGAGGATGTTAAATCAGCCTGCAGCATATCCAGTACACCCAGACTTTTATGAAGTCGAAAACCCTAATGGAACATATGAAAATGTTTTCGACCAAGATGCTATTATTGTTCATGCTTCATTTTCTGGCGCCCAAAACTCTTTCTTATGCTTGGCAAATGACTTTTACGAAAAACCTACAAAGTTATATGAACCACCAAGTGGAAGTATTTCAGACTTTCAAGTATGGTTTACTACAGATGGAAGAAAAAGAATAATTCCATTATACCATGCGTTTTACTTAGAACTTAGTTTCATATACAACTACTATCGAACGGTAAAAATATAATTTTTTAATACGGTTGAGGTGTTGGATTTGGTTGCCAACTAGACTGTGGTGCAGGTTCAGGCTGTTGTATAACAGGAGCTTGTTCTTCTGGTTCAGGGTCTTTAGGTATAATACCAACGAACTGACCTACTCTTTTACCAATATTTTTGACACCGTTCCAAATTCCTCTTCCTACGGTTTTTATTCCATTCCATATACCTCTTCCAACATTTCGAAAGAAGTTTCCTATCTTACTGAAGAAACCCATTTTACTATATGTAAAAATCTAATGTCCGCCTAGTCTCTTACGTTTCCTGTTGAGTTCCATAGCATTCTTTAACTGGAGCTCATACATTCTGTTTCTCCTCTGGTAGAAAACATATTCTGGGTCAACTCCTGTGTTCGCGTCATCTGCATAAAGTTGTTTATATCCCACTTCAGGGTTTGTATAAAACTCTTTCCATCTCATATTTGCATACCATGGTGGCAAACCTAACGCAGCGTCATTTGACATGGCAGTTTGCATTTGTACATCTGTTGGCACTTGACCATAGTTTGCCATTGCAGTTTGTATTCTAACTTCATTTGGAATATTCTCTGGGTTTGGTTGTCCAGGTTGCTGTGCATTCGCTAAGTTCTGTGCGTCCATTTAATATTAGATAAAAATATCTCTTACGAGTACATATACTGAACATTTGCAGGCATTGGTTCATCTTCATATTCTCTATATCTTTCTGCCACGTCAAATAAATAAATGACACAATGGAAAAAACCTAAAACAAGTAGTCCTATTTCAAACCACATTTACTTACTAATAAAATTTCTTTGTTATGACACTTTCTCCGGTTTATAGGACCTCTCTCATATTCTATCTTGTCATATCTAAACTCATAGTCATGTATGTCCTCTAACCATCTCATAACGGTTTCCAAACCACTTTTATCGGATGTAAAGTAAAAGCATGGATGGTTATGTAAAACGTCTAAAGTTTCTAAAGAGTCTCTCAAAGTCCAGTCTACTTGGTATTGAAAATCCCATGTGTTATAGAACGGCGGGTCCACTATAAAGAAAACATTTTCCTTGTCTTTATATTTTTCATACAACTCTGTCCAATGACATCTCACAAACTCTATACCCTCAATATATTTTTCTATGTCCTCTTTGAAAACATTTGTATAGTTAAGATATAAAACTTTTGACATAAGTGTTTCAATGTCATGAACTCTTATAGCACCACTATATAATAGTCTAGCAGATATACTATCCCAGTCTATATATTCTGCTTTTTTCAAAACCTCTCTCACAATATTTTGTTATCTAATGGTATACGTTCCATCTTACCTATAGGTATCTTTTCTTTTAACTCTTTCAATATATTGTTTGTGTCTGGTATATGTTTGAGACGGTCCATATAGTTGTCGAAGTCATTGCATATAATCTTTGAGTCTGGGAATATTGTATGGCACAAATGGGATATATAGAAACTTCCACCGAACAAATCTACAAATGTTAGACCATTCGGTAGTTTCTTAAGTTCTCTCAATATAATATCTTTACATTTACTCTTATTTCCAAAGAACGGTAACGGTGGTTTTGTAAAATTCATTTATATATAATAATAAAAATGTTTTTTCCCTGAAAAGTGACAGAAAAGTGACAAAACATGAAAACATATATAATTTGTGAAAAGCGACACATTATATAATGTTTTCGACCCAGAAGAAGGCTTCTCAAAGTATACTTCCTTGGAACGCCTGTAACTTTTCCTGTAGCGACGATAGACCCTTACTTGTCCGGACAAAGTTATACTATTTTGAGTGCTCTACAAAAAAGTCAACGGCTGGCTCGTCCTCAGAAATTTTTTATGGGCTAGAGGGCACGAAGTGCCTGGAGGCCCATCCCAAGAAAAAAAAAACTTCATTATACTAAACATCTTCAGGGCTAGAGGGCACGAAGTGCCTGGAGGCCCCACTACCTTTTTTTTTTTTTTTTATATTCATAAAGATTTTCCAAAAATATGATACCGCAAAATTAAAAAAGTGACGTCTTGAGTGGAGTCAAAGGTCGAAATTGCTAGCTAAATGTTTTTTTAGCGAAATTGCGTATTGTACGTTTTTTTCGCAAAACGAAACCCTTATATTGTTATATCAGTCTTCTGCTCATTCTCATACAAATCTTAAAAAGTGTTATTTTTTCAAAAAATACCCAGTTAAATGGGGTTACATACACTGTTGAAACAGGGAAGAATTATGCAGTAGTAGGTGTACCTGGTCAAACTACATGTAATGCTATTGATAAAAGCACCTTTACCTCCAAAGAGATTCAACTTGAAACAACAGTTACTATTAACTCTCAGGAATATGATGTTCTTGAGATTGCACCATATGCCTTCTATCAATATAAATCATTTCAAAGCATCACATTTCCCAAAAAATTAGTCAAAATTGGTGAAAATTCATTTGATCAAGGCTATCATAATATGACTGAAATTTCATTCCCTGACTCTGTTACATATCTTGGAAGTTTTTGTTTTGCTGTAGCAAGAATAAAAATTTTTAACATCGGAAAGAACGTGAATTATATTGGAATTTGCATTATCGGAGCCGATGATGTTCTTGAAAAAATCATTGTTGATAGAAACAACCCTTACTATGCACATGATGGCCTTTATAACCTATATTCTAAGAATTTCACAGTTCTTTATCAAGTAAATGCAATTCAAGAGCATTATGTCACACTCCAAACAGTGAATTACTTTAAATCGCAAGCGATTAATTCAATTCCAATTAAATCCGTCACAATTACACAAGATTGTTATTTTGAGAGCAATGCGATCTCATATTGCGACCAGTTAGTAAATATTACGTTCCATGGGAGAATTCTTAGTCAGACATCCGCCGTAGTTGGAATTTATGAACTCTCTATAATATGGTATTACTCCAGCAATCCTGTTTATAAAGCAGTCTTAGCTAGTGTTCCAATTTCTAATATTGTAGTTTATTGCTGTAATAGTTTCAATTCAAATTTCTCCACCATTGTCCCAATTAAATCCTTTGAATGTGTTAACCCAGTAGTACAATCTTGCAAAGTAAATCCAATCAGGACTCCATTTAATATTAGTGTTTTTATTGCTATGCTATTAAATTAATAAAAATACCTCATTTGTATTTTTATAATAATTTGCTTTTTGGTATGTTTCCAGACAAATTATGAATTTAAAGAATATTTCTTGTGCAAGATGGATCAAAAAATAATATGGCATAACTCAGTTAAAAAATATAACATTTTAAAATACAAAAATAATAATATATAAATCAAAGAATATAAAATTACAATCTTTGCAATTCAGCAAATTGTCTCAAATCATCTCCTGTTATTTCTCTTCTACAAATATCAATGATAGCATTGAATCCTTGACTAGTTCCACTGCAGTAATCATTTGATTTCTCAGCAAAATCAGATGAATAAATGAAATCTCTCATTGACTTCATGTATTCGATCATTTGTGCGAATGATTCCATTCCTTGGTTCTTTGAGAAAAGAATCATCGAATTAATGCATGAAACACTCAAATCTACGTAGTACTTCTTCTGTGCAATTGATGTCAAGCTTTGAACACCTGACATCAAGAAGAAACCATACATAGAATTGATCTGCAAAATAATCTTCGGATTCAATGTTTCCAGAGGATCGAAAACTTCCATTGCATCAGCAATCAAAGCGAAATCTGCAGCGACTTTGAGGTAAAGAGATCTGCTTGTGATCTTTTCCAACACTTGCTGATGTATCTTCTCCTTGTAGTTCGTCATTTCAGCATAAACATCGTGTGCATCGATGAAAGAAATCGTTGTCAATCGCTTCGAACAAGCGAAAGTTTGGCAAAGTTTCGAAATCAATGACAACTGAATTCCTGTGCAGCATTTCGCGTTTTCTAACTCGTGGAAGAACTCAATCACGTAGTTATAGAACATGTTGTAGAATGAGTTGAATAGTTCTATGTAACTCTGGAAGAATTCAATCATTATTGAGTTGTTTAAGATCTGTGAAATCGATGGATCGTAAGAGGAATACAAATAAATAAGAGGAAGTTTCAACTGAACTAATTTGATGTTTTTAAGTTGAGAAATGACATCTTTCGCGTGGTCGATCGTTAATGTACTCCATTGTATTGATGCCTTTCGTGATGACTCCAACAAACTCCTTAAGAATGGGTCATGTTGCTGTCCATCAGTTCTGATTTTTTCATCAGCTTGTTGCAAAATATTCGCCATGTTTAATAGACTTATTTTGCATTTCTCGAATGAAATAACCAGCATCTTCTGTGAACAAGTGATGAACTGCGATTTGTCAGTGAACAAAGAAAGAGCTCTGATCAAAGGAAGAGTGTTTGACGTCGAATTGATGTTTTTGAGATTTTCTAATTCGGAAGAGATGAAAATCGGCAAATTTTTCGTTTCTGAAATGGCACTGATGACTTTGGAAGGATCTATTCCATTCGATTGATTGGAATAGAACTCTTTGGCGTATTTGGAAAGTGGAGAATCATTAGATGAATAGAAAGGTGATGTGAAAATTGTTTTGTGAGGAATTCTTGAGGAAAACTGAAGAGTTTTCTGATAAATTTCTATCATTGCGAGTCTTGTGTTTTGATCAAGGTTTGTGTGGAATGATTTCGGTATTTCGTCTTCTAAAATGAAAGCTGTACTGTTTGTGAATTGTTGGAACAAGAGAGAATCATTACTTTTGAGTAATTCGTTGAAATAATGTCTCAACATTGGATCATTGATGAATTGTCCGGAATTTTGTATTCTTTGTTTGTACTCGACAATTGATTTGTCGTCGAGTCTGTCGTGATCAGAATACTGCTTGAACAATGCCAAGTTATTTGTGATTGCCGTGAAAGAACTCGACAATTTCGGATTGTGGGAAAGAGGAGAAACAGATTTGACGAACAAATGAATTTCATTCAAATCCATTCCATCCAATGTCTGAATGACTGTCTGTGGATCGTTGTACGAAAGATTAGACAAATAGGTGACTTTGTCTTTGATCAGTCCGTACTGGTATTTGAGCAATGGAGAGAAAGTGAACTCAGGCAAATTCGACAAAAATGCCAGAGACTTTGAGAAATTGATGAACTGAGAAGCAATGAAAATGAAAATTGTGTCGATGTCGATGACTTCTTCTATTGATCTTGCTTCAATTTCTTTGGAGTGGAAGTGGACTATTTCAAGGGAATTGATCAATCCGACCATGTTTTGTATCATTATCTGCAAATCATTCAACTGTTTCATCAAATCTTGGAATTCCATCACGTTTTCTCTCATCAAAAACATGTCAATTGTCTTGGATAACGATGCCAAAGCGAATCTTGAAACAATCAAGTACTCAGACATGTGTTTGCCAATGGAGATCTGCTTGAGAACCAAGACAATTTCGTCCTTGAGTTTTCCAAACTGTTGGCAAAAGTCTTCGAGAGAAAATGAATCATTGTCGCTGACAATTAATTGATATGTCCTCTCGATTTTGTCTGATAAAACAGCTGAGTACTTGATGACATCGTTTACATCAGGAGGAGCTGGATTGACATGTTTGTAGAGTTCGTTTTTAATTACAGACATCGCTGGCATTGTTTCTTTCTCAAATATTTCGGATCCAACGTTTTTAATCACACTTTCAATGTGTTCCAAGAAAATTTTGACATTTTCGTATAATTTGACTGTTGGGAATGATTCCTGGAGAAGCAAATTGTTGCAGACATCCTGGAGTTTGTTTGCTTCTTCTTTGAGTAATTTGGAGTTCTTTGCATCACTGTAAAGATCAGATCTCGCAGAACTTTTAACAATAACTGCCTGGTACAATCTCACGGCGTTGCAGACTACTTGTGCAAGTTCTTTAGTTGGAACATTAATCATATTCTGAATTTCAAACGGTTTGACATTTTCAAGTTCACTTTGACACTTTTCTGTTAAATTTTCAATTTCAACGATCAAATTAGAAAATTGAGTCAAACCATATGAAGTAAATACTTGTTTGATGTCATTACTCTTGATTTCATTCAACAGTTTAAGTGCGTTATTTATTGTCTTCTTGTTGAATGGATCTCTATTGAATTCCGCTCTGATTTCAACACCTTTGAAATAGAAATCCAAAAATTCATTAATTTTTTGAACAGTTTGATGATTTTGTTCAAATTTGGATTTGACTTCATTTACAGTGTTTTGTATCAACACTCCAATTGATTGTACTAAATCATAGTATGTTCTCAAGTGACCCAATTTAGATAATGAATAAATTGATGGAGAATCAATTAAAGTATTCAAAACAGTCAATTTCAAAATTTCAATGTTATTTGCCAATGGATTGATTTTACTTAGATCTTGTTTTGTTGCCTGGTAAATCTGTATCAATTGCATCTGTAACTGTTCAAGCAATGATTTGTCAAGAGGATTCATTTCGTTCTGAGATTTAATCACTGATTCAATGATGAATTTCGATTCTCTCAAAACAGAATCAATGATTGCTGTTGTTTGTTCAGATAATATTGCATCAATTGCTGCTGAAATTTGTTTGAGATTACGAGGAGTGATGTTGATTGTTGACAAACTGAAATAAGGTGTTTCGAATTCTTTAGCAACTTTGATAAAATTATCTCTTAATGATTCCAATCCCGGCTTTGAATAAATCTTAGAAATCATGATTTGGTTTGAAATCATCACGTAATACATTGACTGGCAAATTTGAGCATCAGAAATAAAATCACTAAATGTATCAGCGTTCTGTAGCAAATCAATGCAATTCCTGTAGATAATTCAATGACAAAGTAATCATTGCGATTTCATTGTCAGTGTAATCAATGACAGAAGTGTAAGCATTGTTTGCCTGTGTCTGCAAGTCAATGATCAATGGTAACAATGAATTGTATTTGGAGTTTTCTTGGTCTTTGTCTTTATCTGTCATGCAGTTAAAGATCAATGATTCTGAGCACTCCAACATTTCATTGACGTGGTTGAAGAACATCACGTGATTCATCATACCTATTCCTTTGTCTTCACACAACAAATTGAAGTTATAAATCTGTTGCATGAACTGTTTTAATTCCTTCAAATTCGGACTCAATTTCGTGTTCAATATCATGAAGTGTTTCTTCTTTATGTAATCGCAAATTAACGAAATGTTGTTTGTGTTTATTTCCAACAATTTCGTAACAATTGGATAAACATCGACATCTTGGATAACTAACTGTTCTGCTGTTTGTTCGTACGCTTCAATCAATGTTTCCAAAGTATCCATCATGTCAGCAATCATCTGGAACAAATAGATTTCGTTTGGAGAGAATCTAGAGTAGTTTTGGGAAAGAACTGCTTGTTGTTTGGAATAAATGTTTGATTCGATTTCTCCGTAGAACAAATCAATCAACATCATTATGTCATTGAGTTGTTTTGTGGCAATTCCGTTGTCGAAGAATTGGTTTTTAGAGATATAATCAATCAATGATTTGATTCCATCAACAAATCCATCGAATGTATGTAACAAAGAACCATTTATCAATGGATATTCTTTCTTGATAATTTGTAACATCAAGTTCAATCTCTTTATGAATGTTTCATGGTCGTTTGCGAATATATTGTCTCTGATCAATGTAATGATTAATTTCAGAGCAGACAAAGTGTGAATGATTCTCATCATTCCGAGAGCTTCCAAATCAAGCATCCACATGAAATCTGTTTGCATCGCTTGTTGCATTCCCAAATCGAACTCAGAAACAATGTTGTTTCGCGTCTTTGTTGTTTTGAACTGGCTGGCCAATGTAGAAACTAAATCCACGTTGACAGTTGCTCCAATAGAAATTGATGGCAAATTATCAACAATTTGTTGGTTGAAATCAATAATACCTATGTCTCCTAAATCATCAATTGGTTCTTCTGGTTTAGTATCTGGTATAGGAATCATTGTTGGTATTCTAGTTGCAGGAGCAGAAACATCATCCATTTGAGCATCTTGTTCTGAATCTTCATCTGTTCCTGCTTCCAAATTCTTCAAGTATTTGATTAATTCATTTACATCTGTAAAGAAACTGCCATAATTCATGAGTTCCAAGTAGATATGGAAGTATTCTCCGATGACAGGAGGACAATCAACTTGTAATGTAATCTCAAGAAGTTTGTCATCATCATTAGGATCTTGGTATTTGAATGAGAAAAGATTCTGGCAAATTCCAAATGATTTAATTGTGTGCATTGGAATATTCAACAATTCTTTGTGTGTACTTGTTTCTTTGATGTACAAGTTATAAGGAGTATAATGTAATATACATTCTGTTAAGCTAACTCCATTGTTAATGAAACATTTGTACTCTTCGGATCCGAAATCAGGAATTGCTAAAACTAAATAAATGAATTTAATTATGGCTTTCTCTTTTTCAATCGATTTGGATATCAAAATGTATTCTTTCAAGATGTTCTGTGTCTCTTTCTCCATCTTCTCTTGTTCGTCCATTGGCAAGTACTGCTTGACAATCTCTGAATTAAACTCTTGTGTCCATGAGCCTAAAAAGATAAAAAGTGACAAAGCGGTTAGAGTTTTTGTGAGTTCTGGTGTCAAGTTTTGTATTTTTCCAATTCTGAACATATGATAGAGGTTTTCATAGATGAAGTGAAGTGATCCTTCATCTTCCAAGAATTTATCCGAGAACAAGAAAACTCTTTGTTCGATAACGATGTCGTTAACGAAATCCAATTGGAACACAAGAGGTGTTTCGTGGTTCAAAGGCAATAATTGGCCATTTTTGATTGCGTACATTGAGAAACCATATGAATAACTTCTTTTATGGAGATTCAAGATCTCGAAAATGAGTTTTCCAACAGGTAACAAGAGTTTTACGATGTCTCTTACTCTTTCTCCGGATGGGAATCTGATGTACATCGGAGGTTCTATCTCAATCAGATAGAAAATATCGTATTGGTCAGTTCCAACATCCAAAACAGTTTGTTCGTCATTCAGCAACTGGAAACTCATGTCTCTTCTGTGTTGAACAACAACTTGCATGTACATAAGGTCCTTGACACAGAAAGCATTAGCCATGAGCTCTTTGATTTCTGATCCTCTTGTTGACACCAAAACATTCTGTGCAATGACAGTTGTTGATCCAATTCTTGGTAACATGTTTATAATAATTCTTTGGTTAGTACTTTCTTTGTTCAACATATCAATCATTCCGTAGAACTTCTTCTGATAGACTTGTCTTTCTTTCATCTTTGGATATAACATCATCTTGTACATGATCAACAAAAATTCAATCTGTTTTAATGCGTCACCTTTTAAGTTGTCAGTTTTTATTTTGACTTCATAATAAACTTTTGTTCCTGGCAACACTATTTCGACATGTATCATTGATTTAGATGGCTTGACACTCAATGCGTTTTCCCATGCAAGTTTGAATGCTGAGAATTCAACCTGAGTGATCTTATTAATGATATTAATTCCGTTTGCACTGATTTGCAAAACACAAGAAGGTCTTTCTTTGATAACATCATCTTCCATGTAAGAAATACTGACATTTTGTTGGTAAACACCGAAATTAGGGATCTTAAATGCTTCTATGATGAATTTCTGCATTGCGAGCAAAGGATCGATGAAAGGAGCACTTTGTTTTGTCTCATTAAAAATCTTGGCAATGTCAGCATCTCCTGATTCGAAATTCTTTGGAATGTATTCATCAGCCTTTTCCAAATAGAATTCTCTGAAGTTGTCTCTTGTCTTGCAGTTGATGATGCACAAGTAAATCATGAAATGGATTAATTGGTTCGTGGAAATCTCGTAATTTCCTGTAAACAAATCGGTTTTGACAAAATCAAAGATTTCGTTGACAACAATTTCATCTCTCAAATCGTAAGGTGTGAGTGCATAACAGATTCTCTTGAGAATGAATTGGTCGCAACCTCTTACTTGTGTAATGATGGATTCCCTGAAATCTAATGGTGACAATTCTCCATTTGGCCTCTTTTGGAAAAGGTGACATCCCAAATGATAATAAATACCAAGAGCGTTTGCAATTGGCTTTATTAATTCATGGACTTTGTCTGTCAGAGAAACAGTGAGAGAAGCGCATCTTCCATCTTCTGTTTGTACGTGAATCTCTCTCAGTTTGGAGATCAACAAGATAGTTGTGTATTTATTGATGTAATATGTTCCTAAGAGTCTGTTTTCATCAAATGGTTTCGTCAATGATGAACTCATTGAAATGAAAACTTCGAAGTTCGATTCATTCAAACCAAATGCGTAAATTGCTGTTTGAATTATCTGTGACTTCTTCATTCTCATGTCGAATGTGACTCTTTTACCTTTCTCATCTGATCTTGTCTCCAAAATATACATTGTTTGGATCTGTACAGCGTAATTTGGATCAATTGTTTTATATGATAAATCTTCTGGAATTTCCAAACTCGACATCCATTCTTCCATTCTGCATTGAACACCTCTTTCCAAATAAGTAATGCTGTCTATTGTGAACAATTGGTCTTTCTGGACATTGTCTTCTCCGCAGTAAGTCATTGTGCAGTCATCGTATGTTTTGACTCTCAAAGCATTTGTAAATGAATTGAATCTGATGATTTGTTGCCATTTGACAGACAAAATCAGTTTGTAAGGTTTTTCTTTACTTACAAATAAAATACTTGTTTTGTCGAAAATGATCCAACATTCAACACCTGATCTTCCATTGAACAAACCTGAAAATTGTTCAACACAAAAGCTTGGTAAACTCGTAACAAAATTAACAAAATCGTAAATAGATGTTTCAGTATCAACGAAATTGTATTTTGAAAGGAATTCTTTAACGAATTTCTTATCGTAATTACTAGGAATTGAATCTTTCGGAACAATATTTTTGAGTGTAGAAGGTAAATCAGAGATCATTCCTCCTTTGTCTGCGATACACCTCAAACAAACAGCCTTGAGGATGTCCTCTGTCGTGAACAAGTTAATGTTCTGATTCGAAAATGTGTTTGCACAATCTTTGTAAACAATTTGTGCAACTTGTTTTGACAAACCGTTTTGGAAATAAAAGTTTTGTCTTCTTAGGAGTAAATCAGTGTTCATACTGACTTGTTCTGCTATCATTGCGTTGACTGCCATCAGTGTTCTGTTTTCTGACTTCGAAACTAAGCAGTAATTCATCGGATCAATGATATCCCATTCAGCGCAACACTAAGAAATGATTTCTTTAACTTTCCATGTTGCGTCAACTGAAAATTCTTTCGTTTCAAAGTTGAAAGTGACATTGATGTTGATCTGTCTCGGAGAAAGGAATACGTATGCAGGCCTTGTGATGTTCAATTCCTGGAGAGTCATGGTATCCGATGTAAGATATTGAGGTCTTTTCTCGAAGTAAATCAAAGGAATGAACTCTTCTTTTCTGTTGTTTAATCCGAGAACTTCCTTGCATTTGTCCATGACTTGTTTCTGCGTGAATGAAAGAGGGAACCAGACTTTGTCAAGACCAATAGATGATTTCAAGTCTTGGCCAACAAACAAGTCGATTTCTGGTGGATGAGTGTTTCCTTGGTCATCAACAAATTTTCCTGAAATGTGTTGTGCGGCAACTGTTGGCTCCATCTGCTTCTCAAGCTTCCTCATTCTCCTCTGCCTCTTGAAATACATCTGTGAGTCTTGTATAAGTGTCAGAATGTATTCAGCAGGGTTCCCACTCGGAGATGAAAGAGCTTTGATGCAAATGTGGTTCTCGTTGTTGGTATCTCTGGATTTTCTGGCAACTTCATCGACATATCTGAAATCTAGGATGTCAGCAATGGCTTTTTGTCTGTGAATTTGGGTAAATTTAATCTTAAGACCGTCATTCATCTTCACTCCTCGCTTGCAGATAGTAATGGACTTCGGAGATACATATAACGTGGCAGGAATTAATGGTTCTTGCTTCGAATTCGGTTCCGAAATCTTGACATCGAATACTTCTGAGCCAAACTCTGGAATATGTCTGGCCAAATCAATGTAGCCTCTTGATCCAACCAAATTTGATAATTTCGGACTGGTTTGGACAGCATCAACATATGCTTTTTTGACAACTTGTAAACCGTTTTTTTCAATGACCCATTTTGGAACGTGTAATGCATGAAAATTCGGTTCAATTCATTTTTGACACTTTACATATATCATATTGCAAAAAAGTTTTTAAAATATGATAGTAGTATATGTGGACGGGTTGTGTGACTTTTTTTGTAAACGTAAGAATTCATACAATATTGAACGATTTTGTATCATTTTTTCTAACATATGAAGTAAAAAATGTATGATTCTTACAGTTTTTATTCTTACGTTTTTGAATAAATCAAGATTTAAAAATGGGTCAATGACTCGCTTAACAATTGGTAAAACTGCATTAACAGGAGCACACACTAAGGCTGTATGTTGTGAAAATGGATGTTGTATGCCATTTATTTAATAAAATACCACAGAAGAGACAAAAGGAACCGTTAATGATGGTTTTGATACTATGATTCAAAGAGGTGGGCACCCTTAAAACATTGATTTTATTTTTATATAAATGAATAACACAGATTTAAAAATTTTAATTGCTGATTTAGTACTTAATCAAAAATTTCTTAATTATTATGATTTAAAAGCATATCTCCAAAAATATAATAATAATATAACGGGTGATGATATGGAATATTATTATCCATATTATAAAAATGAAATTTTGAAATATCATAATAAAATAATTTCTGAAATTAAAGACAAAATTAAAAATAATGAATATACAAAGGGAAAAACTAAATCACAACTTAAACAGTTGAAAGATTTCAAAAATAAAGTATTAACAGAAGAAGATATTGATGAATTATATAAATTATATAATCCTGAGCCACAAAAACCAAAGCCAAAGGAACAAAAACAAAAGGAACAAAACGCCCAGGTCCTTCAGACCATAAATGATGCACAAGCTTTAATTTATGATTCATTAGTTAAACCATATTCAGCCCGACTTTTAAATGAAGATCAACTTTTGGAATTCATCCTTCAACATAAACTCGAAGCGGGAAAGTATATCAAACCTTTATATACAGCATATTTAAAACAAATGAATAGAATACATCCAGAATTAATGAAGGAAGGAATGAAATCCAAAATCAAAGCAGATAAAATTAAACCACTTACAACACCAAAACCTCCAACAGTAGTACCTCCTCCTCCTTCAGTTAATCCTTCATCATTCACTTTATTATATCCATTTCAAACATTTAAGAAGCAAAAAGATTTTAAAAAGGATTTCAATTGAAAGATATATATTAAATAAACCAATTGACCCGAAAATTCAACCATTAAAGGAAAAATTTAGTCGACCTTCATTTGCTCCATATCCATATTCATACGAAATCGATCATCTGGAATATTCAAAAGGAAACGTTACTTATTTATTTGCCATTAACATTAACACTAGATATTTATATTGCATTCCAGTGAAAGGGAAAACAGAACAGGAAACAAGAAGAGCTATTCAATACTTACTAGATCATGAAAGAGTAGATAATATCAGGGGTGATGGTGATAAAGGATTTCAGGCAGCTATGGCTCATTATTTCCCACAAATTAATTTTTACTTTTCATCCTCTCCATATACGTTTCATAATAAAATAGTTGATGCGGTAATGAGAACTCTTAGAGATGCGTTAGGGGTTAACGGTCAGATATACTGGGATGGAAATCATGACTCCATCATACAGCAGTTAGTATATTATTACAATAATACATGGCATAGAACTATAAACATGAAACCAGTGGAAATGAAAAATGATATTTCAAAAGAATGGGAATATATTAGAAAGCAAATGGAAAGTTAAATGATGTTAAACGTGAACAAATTAATTCGGGGCTCATGAATTTTAAACAAGGGGATAAAGTTTTAATTCATCTCGATTATGGAAAAACTGATAAATCAATGACAAAAAGAAGACGAAGATTTGACACAATAGCTAAATTTGTTAGATATATTAACGGCAATGCATTAGTTGAAGTTGACAAGAAATTAATAGAAATTCCGATTTATTTTATTACTCCATTATATTTAAATAATATTTAATTTTTTTTATTTCGTAAGAAATGAGTGACAACAAAGCAGTCAAGAGTCCAGACAATGAATATAAAAAGAAACTAAACAGAATTAAATCAAAAATATGCTATTACAAAAAGAAGCCACAATGCAGTGAGGTTGAAAACGATAAAGAAATAATCGAAAAATTAGAAACTTATCGTTCAATCATTAAACTGAGTGAAGCAAAAATAAAAGAATTGAATAGAATAAATAAATTGATTGGAAGAGATGAATTTAATAAAGATGAATTTTTAAACTCAATCCAAATTTAATTTTTATTCCTCTTTGACAACATCTCTCTTTCCATCATTACTGCATAACCGCATTTTCTCAATTTTAGTGGTTTGTTATTTTTAACATGTTCTTGCATCATTTTTATCATTTCCTCCCTTGTTATGATTCGTGGTAAATTTTGAGCTTGTGGGGTATTCATTTATGATAAAAATAAAAATTTAAATTATGCCGTTCTAAAGTTTGTGACAACATGACATTTTGACAACAACACAGGAGGAAGGCAGTTATGAATTATTTTTGAAGAACTGAGGGTGTCACCAGGTCACCAGGTAATTTAACTCATGACATTTTGACAACAACACGGGTTATTCAATAATGAATTATTTTTGAAGAACTGAGGGTGTCACCAGGTCACCAGGTAATTTAACTCATGACATTTTGACAACAACACGGGTTATTCAATAATGAATTATTTTTGAAGAACTGAGGGTGTCACCAGGTCACCATGTGTCACCAGGTCATTTAACTTCTCTGAAAAAATGTGACAACATGACATTTTGACAACAACACAGGAGGAAGGCAGTTATGAATTATTTTTGAAGAACTGAGGGTGTCACCAGGTCACCAGGTAATTTAACTCATGACATTTTGACAACAACACGGGTTATTCAATAATGAATTATTTTTGAAGAACTGAGGGTGTCACCAGGTCACCAGGTAATTTAACTCATGACATTTTGACAACAACACGGGTTATTCAATAATGAATTATTTTTGAAGAACTGAGGGTGTCACCAGGTCACCATGTGTCACCAGGTCATTTAACTTCTCTGAAAAAATGTGACAACATGACATTTTGACAACAACACAGGAGGAAGGCAGTTATGAATTATTTTTGAAGAACTGAGGGTGTCACCAGGTCACCAGGTAATTTAACTCATGACATTTTGACAACAACACGGGTTATTCAATAATGAATTATTTTTGAAGAACTGAGGGTGTCACCAGGTCACCATGTGTCACCAGGTCATTTAACTTCTCTGAAAAAATGTGACAACATGACATTTTGATAACAACACAGGAGGAAGGCAGTTATGAATTATTTTTGAAGAACTGAGGGTGTCACCAGGTCATTTAACTTCTCTGAAAAATGTGACAACATGACATTTTGACAACATTTACGAAAATTTGATGCAGTCCAAAAATAAAGTTAGTTTTAAAATTATTTTTATTTTTTTATTCCTATATAAATGACAGCAACAAACAACAACAGCAACTTTATCGTTTCTGATGAACAAGTTATTGATTCATTAGCTGAGGAATTAGTTGTGGCAGAAACTAAAACCCTCAACGAAAGAATTGGTGAAAACAGGATTGATTTACATAACTACCTCAAATATGATGGAGGAAGAGGAAGGAAAACTGGTATGGCTTTATTAGTAAATAAAATTTCAAATTTAACGATTATAGATGTTGATATCAATAAATCGTACAATGATGAACTTAAAGAAACAGTTAGAAAAGACATTTTATCAAAACTTTCGGATAAAGATGTTATCGTTAAAACCGCTTCAGGAGGTCTTCACATTTATTGCAACACTAATTTCTTCTATTCAACCTCGAACAGAATGATTAAATGTTATTCTTGCAATGATTATGATATTGACATAATGACTTCAATGGATGATTCAAAGCGTTCATTAGTGGTTATGGCTGAATCAAGAGTTCGCAAGAATGCAACAGAACCAATCAATACATACTCATTCATTCGTGGAAGTTATGATTCAACATTAACTAGAACAGTGAATGATATATTAAATGATTTGAATATTAAGGTCAGAGTTGAACAGAAGAATGAAGAAATAAAGACTATCATGAATGAAAACAAAGATGTAAACATTGACGATAAACTAGCTCAGAGCATAGTTGATGGCATCTGTGATTTTGAAGTACATAATGATGGTGGAAACATGAATTTAGAAAAAGAAATAACATTATTCACACTGTTTCAAGCTATTAATTCGTTACCTAATCATTTGATTAATGAAGCATACGATAACGTTTATAACTTCTGCAGTTTAACAGAAAATGCAAAAAGTAATTTTGAAAAAGCACGTAGTAGATATGCATATTTAATGACTTCTCCATTTGTTTTGGTGAAGATTCTAAAACTTTATCAAAAGGAATATTATGATGAATATGTTTTACCTTTATTACGTAAGCCAAAAATAACATTTGATATCAAACTTGATGACTCGTTTTTGATAACAGATATTAGACGCAAGGCTGAAAATCATCAGTATAAAAACAGTTCTGAAGTAATTGAGGATTTATCACGTGTAATTCGTTTTGTAGATTGTGGAAACAAATATTTCATTCAGAAAGATTACAACATACACGACAAAATGAATCAAATATCATTTGTTCTTCAATCAAACATGAAAGAGTCACTCAAAATGATTAAATTATTTAAAGAAGAAGGTAAAACCATAACAGCATGGGACGTACTATTAAATCAATTATCCTCATTAACCGTTAAGGGTGTTTGCTTTAAATCTTATTCTACAGATGTTTTCTCAACGTTTCAGGGTTATAAATACAACATTCTTGAAAAGCCTGATTACTCAAAAATTGAGATGTTTATGGATTTCATTAAAGAAGCCATTTGTGATAATAACGATGAAGTGTATAAATACCTTCTCGGCTGGATTGCATCAATGATTCAACATCCCGGAATCAAGAATGAAACAGCAATTATTTTGAAAGGACTTCAGGGAACAGGTAAAAACAGATTTACAGACATTATTTCTGAACTTCTCGCTGGTTATTCATGTAAAAACATTACCGAAATAAGTGAGCTAACGGGTAATTTCAATTCGGTTGTTGAAAATAAAATGTTTCTTGTACTTAATGAACTCAAGAATGTTGGTGAAGATAGACTCGCAAACTTCAACGCTTTGAAATCAATTATTACGGATAATGAGATTAGAATTAATGAAAAGAATCAACCCAGAAGAACTGCTCAGAATGTTGCAAACTTCATTTTCGTAACTAACAACGTCTACCCTGTCAAAATTGAAGTTGGAGACAGAAGATATGTAGTTTTAAGAGTTAATGGTAAATTCAAGGGTCAATTTGATTACTTCAAGAATTTAATGGATTCATGCACAAAGGAATTTTATGATAATTTACTGACGTATTTTATGCAATATGACCTTTCATCATTTAATGTACGAATCATTCCGATGACTGAAGCCAAACAAGATTTAATTGAATTATCAACAAATCCTTTAGATGTATGGATAAATACACATTATGATGAATTGGTGTGCAGGTATGACGTGTGAAAATGCTCTATTCTGCAAACCATCAGACATGAAAGACAAAAACTTTCAAATGAGTATTAAGGATAAATGTGATAAGAAACAGAGAAGAATAGATGGTAAACAAAACATGGTGTTATGTTTTGAAAGAAGAAATGAAGGATTATATAAACAGGTTGAACCAAACGATAATGAGGAATCATTTACTGACGATGAAATACCTGTAAATGAGGCAGTATAAAGTATGATTGGAATTTATTTTTGCCTTCCTCCTGTGTTGTTGTCAAAATGTCATGTTGTCACATTTTTTCAGAGAAGTTAAATGACCTGGTGACACATGGTGACCTGGTGACACCTTCAGTTCTTCAAAAATAAGTCATTATTGAATAACCCGTGTTGTTGTCAAAATGTCATGAGTTAAATTACCTGGTGACCTGGTGACACCCTCAGTTCTTCAAAAATAATTCATAACTGCCTTCCTCCTGTGTTGTTGTCAAAATGTCATGTTGTCACATTTTTTCAGAGAAGTTAAATGACCTGGTGACACATGGTGACCTGGTGACACCCTCAGTTCTTCAAAAATAATTCATTATTGAATAACCCGTGTTGTTGTCAAAATGTCATGAGTTA